ATATAATTAAAAGACTCGTGGGTCACTTCACCTGTCTTCTGAATCCTGAGGGCTCCAAGTCTTTTATTGTAAAGAAATGTTTTTGATGCTAGTGAAAGAAGAACAGCTCTCTCTCTCTCTCTCTCTCTCTCTCTCTCTCTCTCTCTCTCTCACACACACACACACGCACACATTTTTTCCTTAGCAGTAATGCTTCCCCCCCTTCATAGCTTCTGAACAAAAGGAATTGTGATGGTTTGTGGAACGACTGAGAAGAATTTAGGTAATGGCTTTTAAGACTGTTCAGTGATTTGCACTTAGAGCTAACACAAAGCACAGAGAGATGTCTTCTTCTTCTTCTTCCTCTTCTTCTTCTTCTTCTTCTTCTTCTTCTTCTTCTTCTTCTTTCTTCCTCTTCTTCTTCTTCTTCTTCTTCTTCTTCTTCTTCTTCTTCTTCTTCTTCTTCTTCTTCCTTCCTCCTCTTTCTTCTTCTTCTTCCTCTTCTTCTTCTTCTTCTTCTTCTTCTTCTTCTTCTTCTTCTTCTTCTTCTTCTTCTTCTTCTTCTTCTTCCTCTTCTTCTTCTTCTTCTTCTTCTTCTTCTTCTTCTTCTTCTTCTTCTTCTTCTTCTTGCTTTAAATGACCTCCTTGCTATAGAAAACAGAACTCTTGGGTTTATTATTCTCTGTTACAAAACACTGCATGTTTCCACCACCAGGCCTAGAATGACCTTGAAGGTAAGGCAGCTGAGGCTTGGCCTAGGATCTTATCATAGATGGTGCTCACAAGGCCTCAACCCCCACCTCTTTTAAGTAGGGGTGTATCACAAACAAAGGGTGTGAACTGTGAGCGAACAGGTTTTGGGATCAAAATCCCTGTCAGCCATTAAAATTCAGAGAGAGGCAACTAAGGCAGGCTGCAATTTCTCACCATCAGTACCTACCCTTGCCACCTGATATAAAATAATAATGATAATAAAGCCCAAATAGCTTGTATCCATTCTTTCTGAAAGACTGCATTCCCTCATATGAACCAGCCTTGGTTTTGAGATCTTCCGGGGAGGCCCTGCTGTTGGTCCTACCACCATCACAGGCTTCCTTGGTAGGGACATGGGAGAGGGCCTTCTTGGTAGAGGCTGCTACCCAACTGTGGAACTCCCTCCCTACAGACTAGCTCCCTTCTTGTCCTTCCTCCAGCAGGTGAATTATTTCTTGTTCCAACAGGTTTTTGGGAATTGGCTGCTTTTAAATAAAGGACTAGCACTGTTCAGTTTTTATTGTAATCTTCTGTATGTTTTTAATATAAGATCAGATAGATAGATGATGGGTAGATATAGATAGATAGATAGATATAGATAGATAGATATCTATAGATCTAACTATAGATATAGATATAGATATAGATGATATAGATATAGATATAGATATATAGTTTATCAAAGTTTAATTGTTTTTTAATAATTCTTTTCCTTATTTTTTTAGCTGTTCTTATTTTTATCTGTAAGCTGCCTTGAGTCCCTGTAAGGGGAAAAGGCAGGGCATTAATAATAATTAATAGTAGTAGTAGTAGTAATAATAATAATAATAATAATAATAACAACAACCATACCAGCTGGAAGCCTCCCATCTACCCTGTGTCCCACATTGGCAGAGCATATATCTCTGTGCTATTTCCTTCGTCTATTCCAGAAATTGAGGCACCAGAGACTAGAACCATAGAACTGTAGAGTTGGAAGTAACCCTAGTCCAGTGCAAAAATCTCAACTAAAGCATCCATGACAGATGGACATCCAACCTCTTCTTGAAAACCTCCCAGGAAGGAGAGCCCACCACCTCCTGAGGGAGACCATTCCACTGTCAAACAGCTCTTACTGATGTTCAGTCAGAATCTCCTTTCTTGTAACTTGAAGCCATTGGTTCGAGTCCTTACCCCGTGGAGGAGGAGAAAGCAAGCTTTCTCCACCTTCCCTGTGATAGCCCTTGAGATATTTGAAGAGGGCTGTGTATCTCCTCTCAGTCTCCTCAGTTCCACCACCTCCAAGTGACTTGGCCTGCTGCAAAGCCCTCACTCACACACCACCACCATGGTTTGCTCTTCACGAAAACAGTGATCATCTGCTTCCATCTGCCCCTTGTATTTGTCAGTGTATCCCATCTGTTCCCCAATGCTTCCATCCCAGATGGCTATCAGCACTGACTGGCTTGAGGCAATTCTTTGAATACTGCCATGAATAACAGGAATTTTGGAGCGTGTAATTTATTTATTTTTTAATCTGGCCATTGAAGAGAATCATTATAAAATTCTTCCTTTTGATGATTTCTTTCTTCTAGCCAATTTTTTAAAAAAGAAAAAAGAAACCGTATAGGAAAGGGTATGTGTGTGTTTAAGGAGATTGGTTGCTCCAAGCTCCCTTCAGTTTCCTTTGATCTCACAAGTGTCTGGAGGCTGAAACCACACATTCCAATGCTCCCAATCTATCAAGCATAGGGTCTGTTATTTTGTTACCTATCCCTGGGAAATCATTGCCAGCAAATCCTTAAAGAAGATGCAAGAAACTGTAGCTGTGGTGAAAAGGGTTATATTTATTCAAATATAAGAACATAAGAAGATATGCAAGCAATCAAACAATAAACCACAATTACCAAAACCAAACCATAGTCTGATCACTGGAATTCCCCTGCTCCCTGAATGGGCATGCATGGCACAAGATGAGAGATCCTGGTACACTTCCAATGACTTTATTGGGAATACACCAAAGCTTGCAGGCAGGCCAGTTCTTTCTGCATCCCCCCCCCAAAAAAAAAGAGAGCAAGAGAGAATACAAAAATGCCTAAAATTTTTCAGTCTCAATTCTTGTGTACAGATACGTTTTAGAATAATTCCTCTGTTTGAAATAGGAATACCAATACCTTGGTTCTCGAACGCCTTGGTACTCATACGTTTTAGGCTTCCAAACACTGCAAACCCGGAAGTAAGTGCCCCTGTTTGTGAACATTTTTTTGGAATGTATTCCAATTCAAATTATTAGTTCAACAAGTTCTTATCCCCAATTCTTAACCTTTCTCTATTTAGTTCATTTTTAAAAAAACCAATTTTACCTTATAAACATCAATATTTATACATCAATTCTCATTCTTAAAACTTTTTTTCTAAAGTCGACCCAAATTCCCTTCCACGACTTCCCCAATTTTCATACAAATAGCAAAACAAAATAAAAACAAAAACAGATTATAATTATGCACCCTTTGGATCCCCAAACTCCACCCCCCTTTCCCGGTTTCAATCCCCAACAAATGTCCATCAATCTTGCTCTACTATCAGCCTGGAGATCTCACGTCCGAGGCTCTTAATTCTCTCTCAATTCCTCTCTGCCGGTTTTTTTTATAGTCCTTGATATTAAACACCAGATCTCGGAGAAGCTCTAACCAAATGGGATCCATGTTTCTTCCAGCCAGACCTCCATACTTAAAAGTGGAGCCCGAATCTTGTTTCTTGCTCCTTTCAAGTCCAAATGTCCCCAAAGCTCCAACTTCCACCTTAATCAGATTTGTAATCCTTGGATCTTCAGATCTCCACATAAGGAGATCTCTCCATTCTTCAATCTCCAATTCAGAATTGGAGCAATCTCAAAGCAGGTGTCTTGTTTTCAAATGGGAAAATATTGGGGTTTATATATTTGAATGTAGCACTTTCAAAAGCTTCCCTGACATCAGGGGTGCCAACTTGAATAAAATATATTGGGGGGGCAGGTAAGCCCCACCACGCATAATCAATCACGTGACATGATGAACACACACCATTTGAATGGCAACACCCATCAACTTTTTGGGGGTGGCCCCCTCAAATATTTTATTGGGGGGGGGAGAAGACTCATTGAGTTGGCTCCTATGTCTAACATCACACTGCAATCCTAATAAGGATCCTTTAAAAGTAGGTCAGTATGAGTGTACAACTCATGTTTGCTTGTTTGTTAAATTTATATCCCACCCTTCTTCTAACCCTAACCCTTCCAACTGTCCCATTCAATGTTTCTATGAAAATAAATCAACAAAGTATTTAAAACACCTTAAAAATTTCAGATGGCAAAGAAGGCTAAGGAATTATGTGGCTTGGCTAAGGCCATAAAGTCTTCTTCTTTGGCAATCACTCGTAGCTGAGTAAGATTGTCTTCCATAAACACAGTTTTAAAGATGAGTCCATAAGTGACTGTGGAGGTCAATTCTGGACCCACATGTCCTTCCACAGTGGGGACATTGGTTCCTGGGCAGGAGTTGATCACGGTGTGGATTTGCCAAGCGTGCCTTCCTCTTAGCACGTTTCTCCCTTGCATTCTGAGTTTGAGTGTCTTCAAAGTCCATGACACCTTTGGTAAAGGCTGTTCTCCAACTGGAGCACTCACAGGCCAGTGTTTCCCAGTTGTCGGTGTTTATACTACATTTTTAAAGACTTGCTTTGAGACAGTCTTTAAACCTCTTTTGTTGACCACCAGTGTTACACTTTCCATTTTTCAGTTTGGAATAGAGTAGTTGCTTTGGAAGACGATAATCAGGCATCCGCACAACATGACCAGTCTAATGAAGCTGATGTTAACGAATCATTGCTTCAACACTGGTGATCTTTGCTGCATCCTGTATACTGATATTAGTTCACCTGTCTTCCCAAATGATGTGTAAGATTTTTCGGAGACACCGCTGATGGAATCTTTTGAGAAGTTGGAGATGGCGTTTGTAAGTGGTCCATGTTTCACATGCCTACAGTAAGGTTGGTAGTACAATAGCTTTGTAAACAAGCATTTTGGTTTCCCTGCAAATGTCCCGGTCCTCAAACACTCTGCACTTCAATCAATAATGGCAGGAGGACTTCTTGATTCATAGCTCAGTCACCTTCCAGCTCTGCCACACCAGCAGCTAATCCACATTCCATCATTGCATTGTGTCACCTTCCAACTGTCAACAGCTTTTCCTGGAACCTTCTGATGCCCTTCCCTTGATTGTCTCCCAGAATTCTCTTAGAGGTTCTGAAATGCCTTATTTCTACAGAACAGTGGTGCTGGGCTCAGTTTCCCCCTACTCACAAGTTATAGAAAGCTATGGTAAGTCTGGGTTCTCTTGGCCTATTTGTCTTCCATCCTGTGGGATCTACCATCTGCATGGTTGAAGGGATTTCTCCAGGCAGATCTCATTACTTCCCAGTTCTCTGGCTGATCCTGTTGCCTGAACTAGAGCTGTGCACCGGATTCATTCAAATCCCAAGATGAACTGGGTTGATTCAGGGGAGATGATTCAGGCTTTGGCCAGGTTGCATCAAGAGAGCCCCGGAATCACTCTGGCTCAGTTATTTATAGCCCAACATTCAGGATATAGGTTCTAGAAGGGCAGTTTAAAAGTAATGTTTATTTACATATTTTAAAGACACAGAAAAGGGTATCTATGTATTGAAAACACACCGGGATAATTCACACAGTGCAGTTGATGGTAGATCACCTCACAGGCGGAATTCAGTTTGAGTAGGCCTGGCAGTGGTGGTCTTTGCCTGACTTCCAACCTCCCCATTTGAATAGCTAACATGATGCCCTCATGCTTAGAAGATTTCATTCCACACTACTTTTAGGGAGACCCCAGGGAAATTTGGAAATTGGATTATAAGGGATAGCCTCATGGCAATAATTAAGCCCTGTCTCATGGCAGCAGCTCTTTAAAGGGGGGGGGGAGTCAGCTGAGCAGAGGCGTGCATTCTGTCTTAGCTGGGAAGACCCTAGGTAGGCTGTACGGTGGCCATCACAGAGACAAATAAATGCCTTGCCTCCATACCTTGCTTAGGGACTTTCTGCAGGCATCTGATCAGCTGCCTTCTACCAACAACACTATCTTATTTCCCCCCAGGTGAGCCTTTTTTATGACTTCTACTCAGGAAACCATGGACAAAAAGGAGGCGCCAACTAGTAAAAAACCCAAGAAACGGGCGAGGCTGGAGGCTGCATTCAAGGTACTGGGTTTATAACACATTGAAAATCAAAGTTTCTGTGTAATTGTTTCCCAGGTTTCAGATACAGCATTACTTATAAGCTAATAGTACAGTTTGGTTCATAATATATTGGGTGAGGTCTAGAAATAAACATGGTGAAAGTAGACCCACTGGACTGATTTCAACAGGTCTTCTTTAACCATGACTAAGCCTGAATCCAACCCATTATACTACAGTATTATTTTTCATGTTTTTTAAAAAAGTTTTATTTACATTATTTAAGTGATTTTGCTAACATTTAATTTCCTTCACTAAATTGTTTTTCCAGGTCTGGTTTTAGGCAGATTTTAAATGGGGTTTCTGTTGTTGAGTTTGTTCTGGCTTTGATATGGTTTTATATACTGATTGGCATTTGTGTTGCTTATAGTCAATATTTATTTATTCTTGTTTATTTATTTGTTTTTAATCTTGTATTTGGTGTTTTACTAATGTTGAAAACTGTTCAGGGGAATAAGTAAACCATCATAATCAGATTTCTCCTTCTTTAAATCCCTGGGATCTTCAGAAATCCAAGTGGCCTCTTAGTATCAAAGACCCCTTGGGATGATGATGATTTTGGATTGTTACATCTCCACAAAAGTTGTAATTGTCAAGGAATATCTGCATGTCCACCAAATGTACCTCCCTTGAGGACTGAATGCACCTCTGTCTTTATTCTATCTTTCTGCTTCTTGGTTGTAAATACACCTAATTAAAAAGAAAGAAATGCAAGTATTTTGCCCTGTCTCATCACAGTATCTCCTACTTCTTCCTGTAGGACTTGTCAATGACACTTCTTTGGGTGTTGTTTGCTGCCTGCCTCCTGTCTGCAACCTATGGTTACAACATCTGGCTGATCTACTCCCCTTCTGTGGTACAAATGGCTTCTTTTATTTTGTGGGCTGTGTTCCCTAAGGGGTAATTTGTTGTGCCTCTGAAAGTGGAGGTAAGCCATAGCTATTGTGGCTAGCAGTCACTGACAGTCTAATACTACATGAGTTTGTCCAAGTTAGTGACTGTCAGTGCCATCAACAGCGACTGTGCTGCTTGAAGGAGTGCTTTCTTTTGACTCTCCTGAATCTTCCAACATTTAGATCCATTGGATTTCCTCAATTTCTGGTGTTATAAGGGAGGGAGGGGGAGACAAAATAGCATAAACATTTGTAAATTTAGAGAAATCCACACTTAAAGGTGGTTGAATTTTCATGAGGACTTCAAAAACATCACAAACTGATATGGACCGGAAGAGGACTGAATTTAAGAAGGGACAAATGAGAAATTGAGAGAGATTGACAGACTCTCCTATCCCTGGTCACAACCGTTGAGATTCTGCTGTCATGTGATGTGTAGTGCTGTCCTAACATCGACTTTTCTGTGCTTCTCTCCTAGCTCATAAAAGACTTTTATAACGTAACCACTTTCCCCCCGAAGATGAACCCCAACATCAAGTTATTCTTGATGTCCTCCTCCATCGCTTTATATCCACTGGGAGGTACATTTGGGGCACTTCTGATTGGCGTCCTGGAGGATAGATGTGGCAGGTATAGACAGAACCATGACTGATGAACTGCATGCCCTAGGCTGGTGAGAAGTGAGGGGAAATGAGTTGCTTCTGACCTACATGCCCTGATCTGTCACATTGCTCACCACCACAGATACCAAATGGCCCATGAAGGGGGAGGTGGTCACAAGAAGAGCATAAGACGGGCCCTGCTGGATCAGGCCAAAGGCCCATCTAGTTCCAGCATCTTGTCCTCGTGATAGCCTACAGGTGCCCATGGAATGTCTGCAGATGCCTATGGAAAGCCCACAGGACAGCTACTAATAACTTAAGAATGCTTTCCCTGAAGTGTTACCCAATTCTATAATGAAATACTACCTGTAGAACTCCTGAAATGTTTCTTATTGTTCTTAGATACTTGAGGCAGTATCTTTTGTATTTTGTTTTATAAATCTGCAAGATGAATGGAAATAGAATCATAGAATTGTAGAGTTGGAAGGGATCACAAGGGCCATCTAGACCAACCCCCTGCATTGCAGGAGTCTTTGGCCCAATGTGGAATTCAATCCCACGACCCTGTGATTAAGAGTCTCATTCTCTACTCACTTTAAAAAGCATGCTCTGGGTGCCTCCCCACACTTGTAACCACCATCAACTGGTCTGCAATCCCCATAGTGACTCAGGTAGTTGAGGAGATAGCCACCAGGGCTAAGTAAAGTTTCAAAGTTCTAGGCAGACAAGAAAGGAAGATAAGACAGGATCAGAACCTTGGAGAGGGACCAAGCAGTAAGCTTCAGGGCAGGCATACGCAAACTCAGCACTCCAGATGTTCTGGGACTACAACACCCATCATCCTTAGCTAACAGGACCAGTGGTCAGGGATGATGGGAGTTGTAGTCCCAAAGCATCTGGAGGGCTGAGTTTGCCTATGCCTGCTTCATTAGATGCAGTAGCATCTAATGACTGGCCTTATGATATACCCTTTAGAAAGGTAGCTCAGAGGTAGAGCACAAGTTTCCATGTAAAGGATCCCAAGCTCTGCACCCCTCGCGGGAACATAGCAGGGTTGCAAAAGCCAACTTACTAGACCTCATGGAAACATGTGAGCAATGTCTGCTGAAATCCTAGAAAGGGCTTGGATAATTTTAAAGTGCTTAAGAGTAGGGCAGTCAGTGCCTTGCAGGTCTCCACCCATAACTAGCAAAGCGCAGAACCAAGTATCCATAGAAAGCTGAAGGCCTTATTGCAGTTCCATAGCTGCTCTCCTACTGCTGCTCTTTTGTTGGTATCATATCTTCACTAGCAACTCCCAACCCACACAAACCTTTCTGCTTTCCTTGTCTTTTCAGGAAAGGCACTTTGATTATTACTAATGTTTTGTCCATTCTCTCTGCTATACTCATGGGTTGCACACATGAGGTAACTACATATGAATTCAAAATGGTTGCACGCTTGGTGACTGGAATATGTTCAGGTGAGTCAGGGTACTGGATTGAGTTGTTGTTGTTGTTGTTGTTGTTGTTGTTGTTGTTGTTGTTATTATTATTATTATTATTATTATTATTATTATTATTATTATACACATTCCCATAACATGCTGTTACCTGCTGTGTCTCTGCATCATTTAACACAGTGATGTCTCATACAGATCAAAAAGAACTGGTTGCCTTTTGCATACCTTCGTGGGGAACATTTTGTGGTGCAGACCAATTCCTGTTACTTCCCACTAGGGCCTCCTATTCACCATGGAGATATTCAGATGTTTATATACATCATGTCACATGCAGATCGTGAATTATCCCTTGATTTATCATCTAACCAGGAATAATCTACAGTGCTGTTCCCATATACATTGGCGAGATATCGCCTGTAGAGCTGCGAGGATGCATAACCATGACGGCCAACTTCTTTTTTTCCATTGGTGTCTTGTTGGCTCAGACCCTGGCTCTTCGGGAAGTCCTGGGGAATGAAAGAGGTAATTTAGAGAAGAGCACCCTCTGCCGTGTAGCAGATCAGAAGCACAATCCCCATTGGTTTATTGTTCTCAAGATCATCAGTTACCCTTCTTGCACAGGTTGGCCGATTCTGATGTGCTTTGCTGGGGTCATGCCAGTGTGTCAGGTCTTCCTACTGCCCTTCATTCCTGAAAGTCCTAGGTACTTATACATTCAGAAGAAGGATGAAGATGGTGCAAGAGAAGGTACAATACTATCAATTGTAGTGGGACCTTTAGGAGTGGACACCGTGCAAAACTCCTGTGATCGTTCCCGGGCAACTAATATTTAGGATCCCATTAGGAATGGTGGATAGCTTTACAATACTTTGAACTGTACTGGGACCACTGGGTGTGGGCAGCGTACACAGTGGGGGTGCTCCAAAAGCCTGAAGAAAATTTGCCCATCCCATCAGACAAGGGTAGGGAACTTTTTCAGCTCCAGGGGCCAGTGGGCCAATGTTGACATGTGGATGGGGCAAGCTACCTGTCAATCCCATAACATCCTGATGACATCACATGGTTGATGGGTGGGTTGCCCCTCCCCCACAGGTCAACATCTCCCATTTGAGCATGGGAAAGTGTTTCGCCTACCCTTTTAAAGATTGTTGGAGCCATATTTTAAAGGTGGAGTAGCAGAAAGACCCAATCACTCTCCTGAGCACTGTGGTAAGTAGACTCTTCCCACTTTCAACAAGGGAAATCCTGCTTACTGCTGAGTTCAGCTGCACCAGAGAGTTTGCTCCTCGATAAGATTGCTCCCCTTTTGCATTGGATGATAGAAAGGAGGAGCAATCCTGCTTAGCATTTGGTCTCTGCTTTGCTCAGCATATCAATGGCTCTCAACAACCAGCTGGCTGTTGGGCGCTTCGTGGGCTGCACAAAATAGTTTTGGTCAAGCACTGCCCTTTTGGTCAGGCCCCTTCCTTGCCTGTTTGGCATTCGGTGTAGGTGTGGGTGGGCACAGCTTGCCCAAAATAACTTCGTTGGCTAAGCTGAGAACCTCAATGGGGCAAGAGTGACTCGCAGGCTGGAGATTCCTTACTCCTATCATGGGATCTCAGCACTCCGTCATTATTGTATCATTCCTTTTATCCTGATGTTGTGATTAACACAGGGGCTTTGCACTGCCTTTAATTAGGTGTTTAAAAAACTTCATTTCCACTGACCCCTTTGCTTATTTTGGAAGTCACCTCCTTTCTGCCTCTACTCCCACCTAGCCTTGCAGATGTTGAGAGGACGGGAAGACGTGGAGGACGAGATGGACGAGCTCCGCGAGGAGTTCTTTGCTGCGAAGGCAGAAAAGCCCTTGAACACGCCCAAATTGCTCTGGAAGAGAAGCCTGCGATGGCAAGTCATCACTGTAATTACCTTGATGGCTTCCCAGCATCTCACTGGAGTCATTGCGGTAAGAGCGATGCAGGCCAAGGTGTTCTGAGGTTGAGTCAGGTGAAACAAAGACTTGTTTTGAACACAAAGTTCACAGGCGATGACACCAGTCATTCATGCTGTGTATCTAGGGAGATGGTCATATTCTCTGCACTCGGTTGATATTCTGTTCTCCAGGTCTGCAACTATCAAGCACCCCAGCACTTTTAATAATTAAATCATTACAGTTTTAATTGATTGTACTTCTTTTAACATTTGATGTTCTCAGCCATGGACTCCATTGGGAGGGAGGGTGGGACAGAAATGTAATAAACAAATAAACAAATTACTTTGAGCTAAAACCTCTGATTGTTCTGGTCTAATTTCAGGCTTACTATTATTCAGAGAGAACCTACACGTATACACATATGGGAAAAGACAATGTCCGCTTCATGAGTATAGCTACCAGTGTGAGTTTCTGCCTGGCAAACATGTTTACGGTAAGCATCTCCCAACTCCTCTCTCTCTCATCTTAGCTCATTCGGTGGAGCATGAGACTCTAAAATCTCAGGGTTGTGGGTTTAAGCCACACAAAGTTTCTTGCATTGCAGAGGGTTGGACTAGATGATCCCTGTGGTCCCTCCCAACTGCACAATTATTGGATTCTAAGGTTTCATCACCATACATTTAAGGCACATGGCTTTTCCCCAAGGAACCATTGGTGCTGTAGATTATCCTCCTTGGAGCTGCAGTTCCTGGTACCCATAGGCACCAACTCCTTAGGGCTGACTTGTCTTCAGCCCCCTCAATATTGTTGATCAGGGGGCTCATCACCCCCCAATACTGAGGGGGTGGAGGAGGCCAAGCGCTGAGTGGACTGTGGTAAAGCATCAGTAGCAGGTTCTTCTGAAGAGAAAGAGAGGAGCAGCTGTGGCCATTGAGGGGACAGTGAGCAAACATTGATTTAAGAACCTTGGCCAGGCAAGTGTTTGAACTGCTTCTTTGCCTCTTTCTCTCTCTAGATGTTTTTAGTTGATTCTGTGGGGCGGAAGATTCTGCTTCTCTCTGGCTTTGGCGTCTGCGGCATCCTCTGTGTTCTGTTAGCAATTACTGTGGAATTGCAGGTGGGCAATTCAAAAAGTTTGGGCATCTGTATAGCCTTTTGAACCTGGGCACCCTCCCCTTTAGTATGTATGTGCAGAGTAACTGGTAGCCATCGATAGCCCTCTCCTCCATGTACTAGTCTAATCCCCCTTTAAAGCCATCTAAGCTTGTGGCCATCACAGCGGGGAGTGAGTACCATAGTTCAACTGTGTGTTGCAAGAAGGACTTCCTTTTATCCATCCCGAACTTCCAATATTCAGCTTCACTGGATGTCCAGTGCAGACTCTGAAATTTAAAATCCAGTAGGTTTGGGTGTGAAAGCTTCAAGATGTGAGTGACAAGGAATTGCAAATTTTTCCTGGAAAAGTCACTTGGATAATAATAATAATAATAATAATAATAATAATAATAATAATAATAATAATTTATTTATTTATACCCCGGCCATCTGGATGAGTTTCCCCATCCACTCTGGGCAGCTTCCAATCAAATGTTAAAAACAATACAGCATTAAATATTAAAAACTTCCCTAAACAGGGCTGCCTTCAGATGTCTTTTAAAGATAAGATAGCTACTTATTTCTTTCACATCTGAAGGGAGGGCGTTCCATAGGGCAGGCGCCGAGAAGGCCCTCTGTCTCATTCCCTGTAACCTCACTTCTCGCAATGAGGGAACCGCCAGAAGGCCCTCGGTGCTGCATCTCAGTGTCCGGGCTGAATGTTGGGGGTGGAGACGCTCCTTCAGGTATACAGGACCGAGGCCGTTTAGGGCTTTAAAGGTCAGCACCAACACTTTGAATTGTGCTCGGAAACGTACTGGGAGCCAATGCAGATCTCTCAGGACCGGTGTTATGTCGTCCTGGCAGCCACTCCCAGTCACCAGTCTAGCTGCCGCATTCTGGATTAATTGCAGTTTCCAGGTCACCTTCAAAGGTAGCCCCACGTAGAGCGCATTGCAGTAGTCCAAGCGGGAGATAACTAGAGTATGCACCACTCTGGCAAGACAGTCTGCAGGCAGGTAGGGTCTCAGCCTGCATACCAGATAATAATAATAATAATAATAATAATAATAATAATAATAATAATAATAATTATTATTATTATTATTATTATTTATTTATACCCCGCCCTCCCCAGCCAAGGCCGGGCTCAGAGCGGCTTGCAAGCAATAATAAAAACAAGAAGAATGATTACAACTTAAAAACAAAAATAAAATACAACATTAAAATAATGGAACATTAAAATATTAAAATGTAGCCTCATTGCAGGAGGAGAAGGAAAAGAAAAAAGAAAGAGAGGGAGGGAGGGAATCAAATTGGCTCCAAGCCAAAGGCCAGGTGGAACAACTCTGTCTTACAGGCCCTGCGGAAAGAAATCAGATCCTGCAGGGCCCTGGTCTCATGAGGCAGAGCGTTCCACCAGGCCGGAGCCAGAGTTGAAAAGGCCCTGGCTCTGGCTGAAGCCAATCTAACTTCCTTAGGGCCTGGGACCACTAGGGTGTTGTTATTTATGTACCCTGAGGCTCTCCGTGGGGCATACCAGGAGAGGCGATCCCGTAGGTACGAGGGTCTTAGGCCGTGATGGAGCTGGTAGACCGCCGCCCTGGACATAGAATTAACCTGCACCTCCATGGACAGCTGTGAGTCCAAAATGACTCCCAGGATCATGCATTTTGATTTTCCCCATTACAAGGGATCTCACAGGGGCTTCGCTCTTGATTTTCTGTGGCACCTGCTGCATTCCGTGGGCCAGCAGTGCTGTGGGAAAAGACATGGAAATTGTAAAGAAGGGACATCCTTGAAGATCAAGGGGGTAATCAGTGTGGTAGACCCCAAACTCCCATCATCCTCAATCAGCATGGTGAAATGGACAGGGATGACTGGAGTTGTAGCTTCGCAACTTGTGGAGGGCACCATGTTGGCTACCCCTACTCTATGTAAATGGTAGTTAGCAACTTTAGTAATACATAACTGACATATACTCAACTTTCCCTAACAGGACACCATAAATGAGATGGCGTATTTCAGCACAGTTTTTATTCTCCTATTTCTCCTTGCACAGTGCATTGGCCCAAGTAAGTACCAAGTTCCATGGAGGATGTAAAGGATATGAATAGGAAAGATAAATTACTGAGTCAGTGAAAAAGTTGCATTCAATGTTCTGAATCCTTTCTCTCTACCAAGATTCAACTCCGTGTCTAATTGTATTGGAGCTGTTCCTTCAGACATCGCGGGCCTCAGGCTTTGTGATTGCGGGCTTTGTGCACTGGTTCATGAACTTTGTATCAGGAGTGCTTTTTTATCACACAGAGGTGAGTGATTTTGATGGTCAGTTTTGACGGGGAGTTCATGGTTTGCTTTAGGGCTGTGCAGCAGATTTGGCTGAGGCCTGAAACAAATCGGGCCTATTTGGAGGGACTCAGTTTTTGGATGAGTCAGGTTCAGACAGCCACAGTTGACTGCAGGTCACGTTGCATGGCCCAGAACAATCCATGGCTGTTGGGGGTGGGGAATTAGGCATGAAGGAGAGGCAGGCAGGGTGGGGGGAAACTGCATGACTGCTGGATGCTTCCTCCTCCCCACATGACCCCTTCCGCTCAACAGCTGGGTGTGGGTGATACTGTGCAAGCAGCTTTCCTTTAGGATCTGGGTGTCAGGAGTGAGCCAGCAATAAATCACACTGTGCATGTTGGAGTTAACTCATTATTACCAGGTACACTACAGACTTGGTTGAATGTCAGGCCTAATGAGCAGAAGAGTTCATTCCCTGTGGTCTTACTCCATGAAAAGAAGAAGAAGAAGAAGAAGAAGAAGAAGAAGAAGAAGAAGAAGAAGAAGAAGAAGAAGAAGTTGATTAAAATACAATTTAAAAAACAAGATTAAAATACAACATTGAAACATTAGGATGCAGCCTCTTCACAGGAGGTGAAAGGAAAAAGAAAGAGGGGAAGGGAATCAAACTGATTCTAAGCCAGAGGCCAGGTGGAACAACTCTTTCTTACAGGCCCTGCGGAAAGAAATCAGATCCTGCCGGGCCCTGGTCTCATGAGACAGAGTGTTCCACCAGGCCGGAGCCAGTCTTGAGAAGGCCCTGGCTCTGGTTGAGGCTAATCTAACTTCCTTAGGGCCTGGGACCTCTAGGGTGTTGCTATTTATGGACCTTAAGGTCCTCCGTGGGGCATTCCAAGAGAGGCGGTCCCATAGGTACAAGGGTTCTAGGCCATGAAGGGCTTTAAAGGTCAAAACCGGCACCTTAAATCTGACCCTGTACTCCACCGGGAGCCAGTGCAGCTGGAAAAGCACTGGGTGAATATTCTCCCATGGCAGAGACCCTGTGAGGAGCCTCACTGCAGCATTCTGCACCCACTGGAGTTTCTGGGACAGCTTCAAGGGCAGCCCTGTGTAGAGCGAATTACAGTAGTCAAGCCTGGAGGTGACTGTCGCATGGATCACTGTGGCCAGGTCGGGGTGGGAAAGGTAAGGGACCAACTGTTGTCAAAAATCAGTTGTCAAGGCTGAAAGTCCCCTCTTCCCCACAACAGTCTTAAGTCCCTTCCTCTCTAGGGCTTTTTCCAAGCAATCTGAGACTGTGCCTGTATGCAGCCAATCTCTCCTCTGCCCTTTTCATGCCACTTCTGGTTCAGGGAGAAAAGGAGGGAGGGGAGCTTGTCACAGCAGAAGGAGGAGAAACTTGTGACTCCTCACTAGCCGAACTCATCTTGGCCTCTTGACCTCCCTCCTCCTCTGCTTCAGCTTCTGCCTTTGATTCTAGATTTCACTCTGCCACAGACTCTCCCAGCTCACCAAGTCCTGCTACCCCTTCAGCTTCTGGCATCTCCTCTTCCCAGCCTTCTCCCTGTGGCCACTCATCGTCATCCCACCACCACTCTCTGGGCTCTGAGCTTTCCTTGGTGCTTCCTCAGCTTGTTCCTCCCACCATTCCTCTGTGCCCAACCAGTCCATGACACCGGGGATGGGGTGGCACCCTGGTCTCGGTAGGGAGAGAGGAAGGAGACACAAGGCTCCTTCCCACACCCAACTCTTGACTTCCTGTTTAGAAAGGCTTTTAAAACCTTAATTAAACATTAGCCCTGGCCACAAATGTATTCAGGAACAGATTGGGGTGAGGAGTTGGTCCCCAGGTTGACCCTGGATTGGAACCATAAAACAGATGCCCAGTGGTTTGCACTGGTAAATTAATCCCAGCCACATGTAGCACCATTACTTCCCCCTCTAATTAAATCCACCCAAATATAAAGTAATATTGTTGTACCCCCCCCTCCCATTTGCTTGCCCCTAGAAGTTTTAAGCTGTGAAGCAGTTTATAAATTTCTGGGTTGTTTTCTTTAAAAAGTTATTTGATGCCGTATAAAGCATCAAAGCTAACAAGTCAGTTGTGCAACCAGATTCCTTCATCTGCCCCAATTGCAACAAAACATGCCTCTCCCATATCGGTCTCTATAGCCACAGCAGGCACTGTAACTGTTCAGCGGTTTGGCTTCACTCACCTACCCACCCCAAGGCACATCTGAGACAGACGGATGCCAACTATTGCATTGTGGACTGGGGCTCAGAGCTACTGTGTAGATGCCCATGTTTTGGTGCCTTCTGCAGTAGTGATGTATGGAAGTGAGTGCTGGACCATAAAGAAGGCTGATCACCAAAGAATTGATGCTTTTGAATTATGGTGCTGGAGGAGACTCTTGAGAGTCCCATGGACTGCAAGAAGATCAAACCTATCCCTTCTGAAGGAAATCAGCCCTGAGTGCTCACTGGAAGGACAGATTCTGAAGCTGAGGCTCCAATACCTTGGCCACCTCAAGAGAAAAGAAGACTACCTGGAAAAGACCCTGATGTTGGGAAAGATGGAGGGCACAAGGAGAAGGGGACGACAGAGGACGAGATGGTTGGACAGTGTTCTTGAAGCCACTAACATGAGTTTGACCAAACTGTGGGAGGCAGTGGAAGACAGGAGTGCCTGGCGTGCTCTGGTCCACGGGGTCACGAAGACGTGACTAAATGACTAAAGAACAACACGGTCATGGAAGGGTATAGTAATATCTAAATTCAGGCTGTGTGATTGGTGGGCCATGTCTAAGCTCTGGATCGCTTCTTTCACATGACAATACCAGCATATTGTACTTCTCCAGACTCCGTATCAAAACATGATGTTGATGAACTGACTGGGTTGAAGAATTCACACTGATTCTGTAGCCTAAGCTAAAGCTTCCCCAGACTGACCCTCATTCCCCTCTTCCAGGGTGTGAATGAGGATCTAAACACACAAACACATACACTATGTGCATGATAGATACAGTAAGTAAATAAGCTTCCGTGATATGCTCATCTCTCTCTCTCTCTCTCTCTCTCTCTCTCTCTCTCTCTCTCTCTCTCTCTCTCTTCCCAACCTACCTCCCCCATTTCCTTTCCAACTCTAGAAGTTGATTGGATCCTACTGCTTTCTGCTTTACTTCCCTATCTGCCTAGCCACCTTTTTGTTCATCTTGAAGTTTCTCCCAGAAACCAAGAAGAGGACCTTTGTGGATATCAAGAGAATCATGTTGCTGCGGTCAGTCAAGAAGGTCACAGCCACGGTGGTTGATTAGAAACTCGAGAATCACCCTATGCAGTTATTTAGTTGGGATTTTTTTGTTTTTGTTTTTGAATTTCCAAACAAACGATTCTAAGAAAGCTCTTATTGATATCCTCCAATTGCCTTAGTTCAGCTAATGTAGTAATAATATAAGATTCCCTGATGATCTAAAAACAGTCTTCTTCTTTTTTACATTCAGTCTTACCTGTGAAAACAGGGACAAACTGAGAAAGCAGCTTACCTACATTTTATTAGCTGCCATCGTTTCAATATTTTGGCAGAGTCAAAATATATGGAGATCGGAGATGGGCAGTAGCTCAGTGGGTTTACAGGAAAGAGGTCCTAGGCTGAACCCTGATAACTTCCAGGTGGAGCTAGGAAGGATTTTAACCTGAAGACCTGGAGAAGTGCAGCCAGTCCTTGCAGACAGTATTGGACATACCAGTTGCCCAGCTTCAGCATAAAACAGCTTCCTCTGTTCATTGATTGTTATCTCAGTGGCTTTGTTTGAGCTGCTTGTGTACAGAAATGGATACATTGGGGGGCAACTTGCTTGCAAAAATGTGCTCTCAGGCAAAATTGCATACACGATGTGCATTTCAGGAGAAATGCATGCTAAATTGCTGGGAAATTTTCATTAGGCAAAGGGAATGTGGTGAACTGAACCTAAGACTGGAATAATGAAATATATGTATAAACTGAAATTCATCATCCCTAGGGACACTTCTACATTTCGTTTTCTGAGTTTCATATTTAAATATATAACAAATCAGTTTGTCAGAGAAGTGTTTACCCACCTCTGCTTTCTGTGACTGGTAAATGGCTCTGTTTTGTCCCCCCCCCCCCTTTGTCTTTTCGAGATGCCTTTGTTTGTTTAATACCCTACCTTTCTCCCGGTTCAGCACCCAAAGGGGCACATAGTGTCAGGGAACTGACATCGGAGTGAGAGGCGAAGGGGAGGCTCCCAGACGATGCTGGCGAAGGACCCAGCAGCAGGGGGAGAAGCAGCTCAGTAGAGGGGGAAGCTAATCAGCGCAACACCAGGGATAAAGGGGGGGCAGATGGGGGAATCGGAGAGAGGGCTCCAGGACTCTTCACTGGACATCAGTGAGGAAAGCACAGGTCCTCTGCTACCCACACCCTCCCTGCGCAGAAGACTCCCGCGCAGTGAGAGGAGGAGGAGACTGGGCGTCAAACAGCTTTTATGTTGGAAGAGGTTTAAGAAACGCCCACTGACGGATTCTGCTAGCGACTGAGGCAGCCACAATGAGAAGGGCTGTACAGTCTGAAAGGTTTAACAAGGCAATTTAGCCTAGAGAGGCGGCAGTTTACGCACGAGTAACTCATACCCATTACACATAGCATGAATGAAAACAGCTAAAAACACACACTATTAAAAACAACACTGAAAACACTGAAAACCTTTTAAGCACACAAGTCAATGTACAAGACTCATCCTCAGAAAACCCAGCCATAACAGTAACTGAGCACCCGAAGGCCTGTCTTAACAACAACAGCAACAAGTGTTTGTCTACCGGTGAAAGTAAAGCAATGGATGGGGGGCAGGCCCTAGTTTCCCATGGAAGGGAGTCAGCTGCACAATCTGAGAGCAGCTACCGAGAAGGCCTTATTTGCTGTTAACATATCGCTAGCATGGTTTGCCTGTAATGTCTCTTTTAATGGTTCAGTTACATCCCTGGGATTTTTAGAAGGTAAATTTCTAAGACACATCTTGTCTCTTAATGCATAATGTATGTAGAATGCACACACACAAATACTAAACTGCCATTTAACAGGCTTATGGCATATGTTTTGGGCAGATGATAATAGATCATTGGACAACTGTTGTTCCCACCCCAAATCTTATCAGCCTAAAGAGTAAATGCTACATTGGGCTTTAAAGGAGGATGCCATACAGAATACAACAGTCTTCAGCAATATGTTATGAGAATGTTGCCCCACATTGATCCTTGGAATGAGAAAAAATGGTTGTCACAGTATTTCTCAGTGCAAACTTTTGAGTGGCGTTGAACATGAATGAACCCTGTAGATCCATCCAATGAGAAAATGAGCAACACAGTCTATTGACAAATCTAGAAACCAATCACACACATATGACAACTTACACACTTTGTGCCAATCCTGGAAAACTTCGTGGGAAAGAAAAGGTTTAAGTTGCAATGTGCAACATGGATGTGAAACTGCTTTGAAAACTACTTGGAAACTCATGGGTGGTGGGGAGGTGTTGGAGAACAGGCCTGTGTGTGCCATGTTGCGTACCTTGGGACCACCTAAGCTAGCCTGCTGCTCTTGGGTACAGTGGAAGATTCTGACCCATGGCAAGGGTTGAACTAAAATTCCACTGCCAATCTATTTATACATGGACCCGAGGTACATCTTGTCCTTCACCTACCCCAGTATTTATTGGGGATCTATGTCCCATCCCTCTTTGATTCATATGTAATCACCCCCCAAGCAGGTAGCATCTACCATTGCAGCAAAACCACCACCATTCCAAAGTTTGGCAGGCTTCGTCCCTTCATCGGGGTGACCATTCCAGCATCTTGCATCCAATTATGGGCAAAAATAAAATATATACAAACATTTCCTTTGTTTTTGTGTTTTTAGACACCAGACTTTAAAGTTCCCTACACGAAAACCCCTGGATGTATCTGTCTACAATTTGGTGGAGCAACTTTGCCTGCAAATTTAATCCACTTCTGTGAAAGAAAGAATAGCTATGTACATAGGGAATGGGGGCAACAGAGTTTTGTTTTTAACAGATTTCATTTGGTCCCAAATAACAAGAGGGCCTGGTGTTCTCTGGTCCATGGGGTCATGAAGAGTCGGACACGACTAAATGATTAAAGAACAACAAGTTGAACTGGAAAGACACAGAGGCTCCCAAACAGTTTTGTGCTTCCCAAAGCTACAGATACAAGTCATATCTTGTCAATGACATCTGAAGGGCACCATGTCACCCACTACTCCTTTACTTCCATTTATTTGGGCATTGAAATGCCATCTGTCCACAACCCCATCTCCCAGGTATTCTCCTTTGTATGTAACATTACCTTTTCTACCCATAGCTCTCATAGTATTTTTTTCTTCTTCCTATGAAAATGACTAGAGAAATGGATGCAGTGTTCAAAATTCTACATCCAGGTTCAGGTACCGTAAGTGCGCTCTCTCTCTCTCTCTCTCTCTCTCTCTCTCTCTCTCTCTCATATCTAATGGCACAAAAGTCAAAATTTCATTTTTAAAAAACCAACCCTAATTTTATCTAGCAAAGGAACTAGAAAATTAATTACATAGAAGATTAGTGTGACTACATTATAATAAATGGACACCATGGAAGACATGAATGATTGAAAACTTAATATGAACCAGATCTGTAAGAAAGTGGAACTCTTAATATTTATATGATCCATTTAATAGATTTCAAATTTATTTTGGGGCACATCCATTTAATAAGTAACTGATTACCGTGATCTGGAGCAAATTGACCATAGTCCGTGGAGCTCCATTATGTACATCATTAAGTATGAGCTCATGCACTGGATTGTGGTGTGTTTGTATGTTTGTGTGTATGTGTTTTGGTTTATACCTGTACCCTAACCACCTCCTCTGTAGCCTATCAGGAAAGCTTAAAAATACAAATGAGAGCTTAAAAAAAAAGAAGCAGTGATGGGCAATTACCTTTAGGTTTTACATAGCTAATTTGCCCTACCCTCTCAATATTGGAAGAACTTGTGACTTTTGTCAGTCTGAGACAATGGGAAATGGCTGTCCCCTCTCTGTGTCCCTGCTAACCCTTTCCATTCTCAGAAGCTATCACTGATAGCCTCTTATCTCCAAAACACCTTTCTCTGCAAGTGTCAACTGTGTGTACATCCACATATATTACAGCAGAAAGTGCATGCAAAATGTATACAATTTAAATGCAATGTTTACCCTGCTTTTTTTTTTTAATTCCAGAGAAATGAGTTGGATTGAGCTTATGGTTGAGCATATATGCACAACTCTGGGAATGCCTTTCAGTTCCAAATCAGTATGTAGAGTGGTATTCTTTATTTGTAAGTTACAGTGGTACCTCGGGTTAAGAACTTAAATCGTTCTGGGGGTCCATTCTTAACCTGAAACTGTTCTTAACCAGAAGCACCACTTTATCTAATGGGGCCTCCCGCTGCCACCGCACGATTTCTGTTCTCATCCTGAAGCAAAGTTCTTAACCCAAGGTACTATTTCTGGGTTAGCGGAGTCTGTAACCTGAAGCGTCTGTATCCCAAGGTATCACTGTATTGAACTGGAAAAATAAACTCTTGGTAATGTAACACACATATTTTTAGTTTGTACAGGCACCGATCATTTTAGGCACATCTAATTGATGCATGATCATCAACACACGGTTCCTTTTGGACCCAGAAGAAGGCAGAATGGGGGCGGAATGGGGTGGGGCATAACATTTCCAGAGATCAGAAAGAGACTTTTGTCTGTGTTTGGATACAATTGGGCACCTTTTTGAATAAAAATGACAGACGGAACCTTTCAAAACTGCACTGATTTCATAGAACTATAGAATCATAGAACTGTAGAGTTGGAAGGGACCCTGAGGATCATCTAGTCCAACCCCCTGCAATGCAGGAATATGCAGCTGGTCCATACAGGGATCGAACCTGCAACCTTGGTGTTATCACTGACCTTTTATTTTTTTGCTCCTTTTAATTTCTGAGCAATACTGAGTTTGAGACTGCTAGTATAACATAAAATATAAAAGAAGGAAAGGTGTGTTTCTCTCTTTTAGTTGGTAAAGCAAATATCTGGATTCTTCACTGTCCATTTGAGGCGAAATATCTGAGAAAGTGGGATTGTGGGAGGAGAAAAGGAAGAGAGCAGCTGACAAAATATTTCTGTTAATAAAATGATTGGATGGATAGCCAGAGGGAGAATGACCTAATGTAAAGGGGATGCATTAGGATTTACAGTAACATCAACATACGTAGCTATTCCATA